CTTTTAAGCTTCTTTCTTTATTTAGTTCATTTTTTCTATTTTTTTTTTTTTTCTTTGCTGTCTTATTTTTCTTTATTTTTTTTTAATTTTCTTTTAGTTTAAGCATCTTTTTTCATTTTACTTGTTATATTAATCTTTTTTTTTATTTTAATATTTTTTTATACTGAATTCTTCATACTTGGTCATAGAATGTATTTTATACTGTTTTTATCACTATATTTATGCATCTCTGTATTGCCTGTCTATCTAAAATCTGACTAATCTTTTTTCCAACTTTATTTGTTGATAGTCTTTTTATCAAAGCTGTTCTATTAGTAATTTTCTCTGCTTCTGTTTTCTTAAATAGTAGCTCATATAGCACTAAAGGTGGAATTCTAACTTCTTCATTTTCTTTAAGACTATTTCATACTGCTGCTATTGCTACCTTTTGGATTCTCTTTCACAAACTTTTTTGTTTAATACAACTTGCTAAGTATACTTGAGTTTTTTTTTTGCCTTTTTGACATACTTGGCAATCAGTCATTGTATATATTTCTGGTCTTCTTCTATTTAATTCTTCTAGCATTGATAGGCTATCTATTATACATTTAATTGCTGTTGCTCTTCTTGTACTAAGTTTTCTTGTTGTGCAGTATACATCTTTTGTTCTATACATCTCTTTTCAAAAGCTTGACCAATTATAATAAGTGTTTTTAGTTTCTGGCTCTAGTGCTCGAATTGGGTTTATTTCTCTTCAACTGGCTTTAATTCTAACATTTGTGTCTATTTTGCAAAGAAGTCTTGTTGATATATTAACTTTTCTGTTTTTTTATTCTAAATAGTACTCCATTTTGTTATACTTAATCTTCTTTGTGAATATTGTTCTTCTACATATTGCTTCTTTTTTTGCAAGCAAATTTGCTCTGTTATTCTATTTATTATTACTGTGACTTTTAACTTTAACTAGTTTTATTTTATTGTTTTTGCTTTTGAGTAACTCTACAATATTTATTATTCACATCATATTTTTCTTTTTTAGGACTTTGTCTTCTTCTACTTCTTGAATTGCTCTGTTAATGTGCCTTACTGCTGCAAGACTATCTGTATGCACTTCTATATACTTTCTTTTTGGTATAGTTAGAATTGCTAGCCATATTGCTGCTAAGAACTAATTTTTAAGTTCCAATGTTATTTTTTTCTCTGGCTAGTTTTCTCTGTTACTGATCTACATCTAACTGATATTTAACTTTTCTATATATTTTTCTTTTTCTTTTTATATAATGCTTTATCTGTATAAAAGATATATTTGTTTTTGTTTCTTATCTTGTTTCTTGTTAGGACTTTTATTAAGTAATCCATATTTTTATTATCAAATTTTTGTTTTTTAATTAATTCTATCTCTAATTCTTCTACTTGTTTTAGCCTAATTAGACTTCTTTTTTCTTTTTTCTATTCTTTTATTGTTCTATTTTTTAGCATTTGTTTTAATGTTGCATTAATCTTGTTACTGCCTTTCTTTACTAATGTTTATGAAACTGCCTTTATATTATTGTTTTATTTTATTTATCTTTCACAATTATTTGTTATTTGTTCTGTTCTGTTTTACACTTTTTGCATTTACCTATCTTGATATATGTCTTGTCTTCTACTTTTTGCAATAGCTAATGCTTAGGTAAGATCTTTTTTCTTTCTTCTTTGATATCATGCTAAATTGCTAATTGTGCTTTGAACCATGTACAATTCACTTTTCTTTTTTCTGTTTTCAGATATTTTTGTCTAATTAATCACTAGTGTCTATGTGTTGTAGTCTCTAATCTTGTATTGGTTGTATATTTTTCTACTTGTATGTGTTATTAATATATTTTTTTTATTTTACTAAACCATTTGGCTTTTTTCTTTTTATATGACTGCTTTAGAAAACTTTTAAGCTGTCCTTATATAATTAGGTTCTTTTCTTTTATGTTCACAAGTTAATTCAAATATATTAAATTTCAATCATTTATTATGCTACTGCTTGCTGTCTATGATTTAACTTTGACTAAGTTCTTTATACTTATTCTATAACTATATAATTTTCATATGTGATTTTCTGCTCTAATATTTATTTTTATCTCTCTTGCTTTAACTATTGTCTAATAATCTAAGTTATGCTTCCAATACTTTATTTCTTCTGGTCTTTTTTCAGAGTTCTAAATGTCTTTTATTAAGCTTGCTTTCTAATACTCTTGAGCTATTCTAAGCTTTGTTAGATTATCTAAAGTATCTTTTTTATTAAGTCTTGCAAATAAACTGCTTATTTGCTTTGTTGTTATCTTTTGACTTAGTAATTTACAGTTTTTTAGCTCTTTGTACTCAATTATACAATTATTTGTTGTTTTCATCATGTTGCACTTATGTTTTGCCAAACATATTATCAGCTGATAGATTTTGTTAATCATCTTTTTCAATGTTTTTGCTAACTGCAAAAGATATTCTAACTTTGAAATTATTATTATATTATTTATATACATGATCTGGCTCATTGTCATTTTTTTATATCTGAAGTCTTTAACTGTTTGGCTAACTATTTCTTTTGCTTTTTTGCTAACTATAGACTTTTTCATTCTGCTGTTTAGTCAAATTTCTAATAATTTTACAATTTTGTTTTTTGGTTCTTCTATTATTCTACTCTGTCTAAATATAATTTCTCTATTTTTTTTTCTCAATCTGAAATTTATTACTATGAGCTTTGACTTTGCTTCATTTATTTTAATATTATTTGCTTTAAAGAACCTTTTTGCAATTTTTAGAATTCTTAGCAGTTGATCTTTGCTATTTGCAATTTATGCAATATCATCTGCATAAGCAATTACTGCTTGCTTATGTTTTGTAATACAATTAATGTCTATATTTTTTAGTGTTTCTTGCTTTACTATATAGCTTAATAATTTATCTTCTTGGATTCTTTCTAACAGTAGATTATAAAAAAGCTGCCAGATTAGTAAAAAAATTATCTCTTCATGATCTATATTATCTTCTGCTATTATTTTTTCTATTAGGCCATAAGCTGTAATCACTTTAAGTTAATATTTACAAAAGAGGTTGATAATATATTTTATTGTTTTTATGATACTTTGACTCTTCTAAAAACTCAATTCAAGCTTTTTAATAAGACTAAGTCAAATGCCTTCTTCATGTCTTGCAGAAGTATCTATGGTTCTTTATTTTTTTTTGTACTTCTTTTATTATCATATTTAGTATATGTATTGGTTGCTCTATTAAGTTGTTAGGCAAATCTGTAAAGTTTGGTTCTTTGATTATTTCTCTTTTTGTAAATATCTTGATTAGCCTTCTTATTACTATTTTTGTGACTAACTTTCTAAAAGTCTCAATTAATGCTATTGATCTAATATTGTTCAAATTATATTCTCAATCTATATTTTTTAGAATTAGATAAATTTGTGCTATTTTTCACTTTTTTGGCATTTCTTCTGTTTTTAAAATCAGATTTGTGAAGACTCTAAAGATTTTTTATAAATTTTTTTCTGCTTGTTTTATTAAAGTATAACTTATGTCTAAAATTCAGCATAGAAGAAACTTATATCCAATAGATTCCAAAATTATAGTTACACAAATTATTTATATAGGCAATTGAAAAATTGATATATAATAGTAGTCTAAAAACTAGAATTTTCACAATCTGTTTAATTACAAGTTTCATACTAAATATACTTTAATAAATTAATAAAATTTATTCACTAAGTGTCTTTAACAGAAAATCTTTTTCAATTATTTTCAATTACTTTTCTCAAAAAGTTTTTATAAGAATAAAGGTAGAACATTTGGTATTAGTAGAGTTTATTGAGTTTCTACTATGTTTAAATTATTAAGCAAATGTGTATTAGATTTACAAATTGCTAAACCATAAGTTTTATTAATATAAAATTTTATATATTTATTAAACAGGCAGTAGGGTGATAAAGGGAGTTCTGGGGTCACTTTTTTGGTACCCTGGATACTAAATATTCATTTTGCTTTTTAGATTGCTCAAGAAGTCTATATTCTATAAAAACTCTTTAGTACCTATATAAAAACCTGAGTACCAAAAATTATATAGCTAGAACTTACTATTTTTATATTTTATAATCAAATCAGATGACGATAAAAAATTAATCTCATCGTCATACCTGATATCATATACAATTTATCCATATATAAATCAAAGTACCAAAAATTAAGTATCTATTTTCCTTTTATAATACTTTTGATAATGTTTACCAACATAATAGCTTCTAGTATGATCTGGGCATCATTTACTTCCAGACTGAGTAGGTTTACCACAATCAGTACAAGGAAAGCGTTTGATTGCATTTTTATGAAGCCAGCACCCTTTAGGATTCATACATGATCGATCGCATATCTCTTCAGTATATAAAAGAAAATCACATATATATTCGCCTAATTGCATTTTTTTATATATACCTAGTATATATTAATTTTCAAATTAAACAAAAATATTTTATAAATAACAGATAAGGAATTACATACCAGCACTTATATACAATGAGTAATCAAACTTAAAATATAAAAGATATTCAAACCAAGCCCACCTATCAAGAAGTTGAGCAAGCTTTAATTAATGTAGTTAAAGCAGGCATTTATTATAAAAAGCCAAAAGAAGGTAAGTTCATGCAAAGTTATAAAGAGCGAATTTTAAAGTTACATCAAGCAGAAGACCCAGAAGAATATATATTAAAGTTAGCTATGACAATATTTCCCAATGAAGAAAAATATCATAAAATCAAAGATGACTATAAAGAATTTTATGGACGAGACCCAAAGATATTTACTTCTATTATAAAACTATATAAATTATATTACAATTTAGCTAAAGATCATTTCATTAAAGAAGCACAAATTAATAAAGAAACAGAAGATTTTCTTAATTTATAAAAGACCAGGAACACCAACTTGAAATATTCCATGAATGTCTTTTATTGTGAGTCTTTGATTCTTTTTTGGATCTAACTTGTAAGCACCCACTAAGGAAGTAATTCAGTATTAGGATGAATAATTTGGAGTTCTTCTCTAACAAAAGACCGTTTTGGTCCATTTTCATTAATATCTTCAATCCAATATAAAACTGGTTGATTTTTTTGTACTAGAGATTCATGAATATAATAAATCTGAAGAGACCAATTTATATCAGTAGCATGTCTTCTTCCACCTTTCAATTCACTAGGCTTAAGTAAATATAAAACAGGATCATTATATGTTAATCGAATCTCATTATAACCTATAGGTCCATATCTTGGTTTAGAAGCTTTAGCATATACAAATTTCTTTTTAATAGCTTCATTAAGGGTTATACCAAGAAGCCAAGTTACAGAATTATTAAGATTATTAATAATAATTGGAAGATTCTTAACCCAGGCTCTTGATCTTTTAGGTAAAGGTAGTAATAACTCTTGTGCATCTTGAATACGAAATAATTTTTTAGCTAAAGTTTGATTAAATCTTTCAACTATACCTATACTACTTTTAGAACTAGCTTTTTGGATTTTAACACCATGTTCTTTCATAAGTTTTTTACAGCTTCCTTTAAACTCTGAACCCATATCAGTTAATAATAATTTAGGCCATGTAAGAAGACATTCTGAATTATTAAAAATTTTAATGAAAACTTTAGCAACTATAGCAGAAGTTAGTATACCTTTCAAAGAAGGCTCATCCATATTCAAAATATCCAAAGTAGTTCCAATTGGTTCTGCCTATTATATCTTGATGCTACATCTATACAAGTAAGACAAAATATATAAGTTATAGATCCTACTTTATCATATAGCATATAAAGAATATCAGCTTGTATAACTTCCATAGGAACAGTAATTTTATTAAAACTAGCACAAAGAATATACTTTGGTCGAGGTTTATAAATTAAATGTAATAACTGTTTTTCAAGCCATTCTTCTATTTTAGCTAATGTAAAATCAAACCCACTACACTCTGAAGCATTAAAAAGATTCTTAACAGTTCTTTGATAACCTGAAGGTTGATAATATATTTTTTGCAATGCAATAGATATTTCAAGTTTTCTCACTTTTTCAGAATCAATATATATTAAGGGATGGAGCATAATAAAAGATCAAATAGATTAGTTAAGGCTAAAGAATATTTGCAGACAATACAAGATCGATTTTGCAAATTACAACAGAATCTAGTTTCTAAAAAAGATTATATTAAATATCTTGAAAAGGAAATCTCAATTCAGGATAAAGAGCTAAATCCATTAAGATCAGAAATTTCTAATCTTATAAAACAGTTAGAAAAAGTATTTAAAGAGTCAAAAAACCGAGAAAATTATATAGCTTATTTAGAAAAGCAGTTAGTATTTTTTCAAAATGAAATAAACAAGCTTAATGAAAAAAAACTTATTTTGTATAAAAATTCCAATAATACTATAGAGATGGCACAACAACCAGGATCATCTAGATTATCTCTATCTGAAAATCAAGCCATGATCCAAAATAATAGAATTTAGCAAAAGATTAATAATATTAGACAGTATTTTCAAAGCCCAGTCACAATAGCACCTACAATAAATAGTATTATAGATTATCTTAATATAATTTCAGATGCCAGCAATAGGTTTGAAAGATTGGTATTAGATATATATCCACAAGTGAATACTCGTGCAATTAATGCAGAAAATCAAGTAGCAAATTTGCAAACCCAGTTAGCTAATTCACAAACCCAGTTAGCTGATTTACAAACCCAGTTAACTGATTCACAAACTCAGTTAGCTATGCTCCAAAATGACTATAACCTTCTTCACCAAGCTTATGGAGCCCACAGAACACAACACAATATATTTAAATCTCGAGAACTTGATAGTCGAATTACAATCTGTATGCAAAAAAGACAAATATCTAAGTTGTTAGCAGAAAAATTTACATTGTGTCTTTTGAATAGACGAACTCAAAAGCAATTACAAAATTGTGAAGCAGATAGAGCGACAACCGCACATCTCTTAAATCTTACAAGAAATCGATATATCAAATGGAAGAAAAAATGCAAGACTTTAAAAAATGACCTATTACTTGCTAATGTTCAGCTTGATCTCAAGTGGGGTAAGTGGAAAGCCCAAACCCGAAATTCTGAACAATTAATTAATAATTTAAATCAACAAATATTTCAATTACAAAATAACCCACCAATTTTAGCAAACATGGCAACAATACAAGAAGTAATGGCTGTAATAACTCCTTTAATTGCACCAATTCTGCAATATATTGGCCAAGAACCTCCAGAAGACTATGTTAATAAAATCAAACAGTTATATAATTGTGGTAGTACAGTAGATGTTGTGGCAGGCTTTAATGATGCTGTAAAAACTCAGATTTTAGCTTCAAAAATGGGAGAAAAATATATACTACCTAATCCATTTAATAATCAAGCAGAAGTTGTAGTCAATACACCAGCATTGTTTTTAGCATAGCTTAATACAGAATATCAAAGAAACAATATCGGTACTCAACAAATCACAACTCAAAGATTAACCCAAGAAAAATTTATGTCATATGATACTCCAAAAACTTACGAAACAAAAATCAAACCATTTTTATTAGGAGTACCAATTAATAATAACTATGTATTAGGAGTGCTTAAAAATCAATTACCAACAGAGCTTTACAATCGAATAACAATAGCACCTCCAGCAGATATTCTAGCATTCTTTACAAGTCTAAAAAATATGTAGTTAGAACGAAAACCTGATACATTTACATATAGAGGAGGCTCTATTTATACCAATGGAATTTCTCAACTTGCATCATTTCAACCAATAATACAACTCCAGTTTCAGCAAAACTTTCAAAACCCTTCTCAACCAGTAATTCAACCCCAGTTATAGCAAAACTTTCAAACCTCTTCTCAACCAGTAATTCAACCCCAGTTACAAAAAAACATACCTCCACCTTTACCCCCTGGTCATGAGTATCAACTTGAGGAATTTCATATGAATAATTTTATGGATGACCAAGCAAGACAGATAAGAATTGGAATAACTCCTACTCCATTAAGCAAATTACCACCTGGAGAGAAAATAATTCATCCAAAGTCTGAAAAAGCCAAAGCCTTACAAGAAATAATGGATTATCCCAGATTGGGTCTTGATATAGAAGATGAAAGACCTTATGATCCAATGGAAATTGATCTTGCTATTGTTAATATTGCAAGAAGAATTGGAGGAAATACTACTATTCCTACTACGAATATAGTTAATGCATCCCAAACTGTTAGAAAAAAGAAACCACCTGTTAGAAAGAGAGTTATTAAAAAGGTTGTTAGATCCAAGAATAAATGAGTAAACTTGGTTACCTATGAAGAAGCAACAGAAGATCCTAATAATGAGGAAGAGGAAGTTTATGAAGAGATAGTTTATGAGAATGAGGATAATGAAAATGTCGAGTATATAGAAGTTGAAGATAGACCTGAAGAGATGCTTTGCAATAATTCCACTGTAACTATAAAACTTGTAAAAAAAAAGTAGTTAAAAAACCATTACTAGCTGAGCCAACTCACAATAATTATAAAAAGATAGAGCAAAAAGTTATTGAGATTTGTAAAAAAAATTTTCAAAATGAGCTTAGAAATATTCTTAATGAATTTAAAACTCTTTTATCTTCTTATAATTTATCACCAGAATTAGCAAGCTCTATGGCTTTAGATGAACCTATGGATATTAATTTGGTACGTCGTCCTACTAATGATCTTACAACTGCTGAATGTAGAATTAATAATATTTTAATTCCCAAAGCAGTATTAGATGGAGGTGCTCAGTGTACTATGATAAGTAAAAAACTAGCAAGGCATCTTGGATTAAAAATTGATACAACCAATCCTCCATCTCTCGAGGGAGTTGCCACTGATGCCAGCTCATATGGATGGTGTTATAATGTACCAATTATATTTACAAATAGAGCATTAACAAGAGATACAGATTATACAATGATACATGATGTAATAGTTAGTAATTATGATAAATATGCTTTAATTATTGGCACTGACTGGCTTGATCTTGCTGGAGGTAAAGTAGACTATGAAAAACATGAATTTAGAGTTGGCAATACATTTGTTCCTATTTCAGTTCACAGATCAAATATTAAAGTAAACTGCATAACCACAGATCAAGACTCAAAGGATTATTGCTCTGCAATAAAAAAAAAATAATTAATATATCTCAAGTTCAAAATACTTCTATATAGGAAGAATGTATAAATCAGTTTTTCCAAGATATATGTGCTTATGCACCAACTCTGTTGTTAGAATATGATTTACCATCTTTTTCTTCTAATGCATGAATAAAATTATATATAGTACCATCTCGAATATATTTTTTTAATGAAAGTTCGAATAATTTTGTACTCCAATTAGCCATATCTATCTTAATTTGATTGCATTCTATATCTTTCTGTTGCTTAATAGTTTTAAAGTTTCTTCAGTAGATTTAATAAATTCTTGACATAAATTATCTGTAGCTTCTTTGATTCTAGCATTAACCTCTTCTTCAGAGTATAATGAAGCAATATTGGTATAAAATACTGAGGAAGCTGAGCTTCGAGACTTTGTCTCTGCTTCTATTGTAGAATTATATCAAGATTTTTTATTTCTTTGGTATCTATCAACTTCATGTTTTAAAAATGCCTCTATAATAGAGCTAATACTACTTGCTTTACTTTCTGATAATGAATTTTTTTTTCGAGTTGTAAGCTGATTTCATCCAGCTTTTATTAATAAAGATGGTAGTTGAGTAAAAAGACTTGAATAATTTTCATAAAAATCTATATAATTTTATGAAATATATTTTCATGAAATATTATAATCTTTCAAAAAAATAAAAAGCATCCTCACTTCGTAAAAAATTATAATCTTTCAAAAAAATATAAAAACCACCCAACCATTTTGATAACAGTTATCGACTTTATATATTAATAATTTATATAAATAATAAATCAAATAAATCAAATAAATAGATTATTATGAAGCAGGCCCATAGGAGCAACTCAAAGAGTCATAGATATATGGGATACATATTCATTTTGATACCTCTTTGAGAGCTTAACACTTAAAGCTTTTTGTTCAGCCAACTCTGAAGATATTCCATTTGATACAAAATTTTTATATGCTTGTATACACCAATGACCATATGGCAAACTAGTTATTTTATCAGATAATATCCAATGCTTAGTATCTATAGGGCAAAGAGCCTTCTTTTCTGATTCGACCAAAGATAATATATGGTCTTTTGATCGGATACCTATATTCTTAGCATGGAATACTTCATTACCAAAAAGACAGTCTCAATATACTAGAGTTATAGGATCTGCCTCAGTTCACATAGCTTCTTGCTCTGATAATAATGATCTATCTATCAGATCATTTAGCAAAAACCCTTCTAAAGCTGGCATATAAGAGTTTATAGCCATTTCACTCATACCCTTTTTGCTAACTTCTTTATGTTTAGATGTTGTAGACTTATTTGCCAAAACATAGTGATAAGCTTTGCCTTGAATATAATAAGATTATGTAATTATACTATCTGGAGTTTCATCCTTATATTTGCCAATAGTTGTATCACCATTAAGGTTAAAGAGATCAGGTCGCTCTTTCATATCTTTATAGATATCCTCAGTCTCAACTTGAAATAAATATAAGTCTGTATCCTTATATCCAAGCTGAGCATTATCACTATATCTTTCTTTTATATATCCATACCAAAAGTGATACATGTGAAGTTTGCTAAGACTCAAGACTGATGCTCCAACAATAATAGGTTTATTAAGAGTTATACTAGCTTTTCCTATATGTGCTCTTATAAGTAAAGGACCAAGTTGTCTAGCATACTTAAATGAGGGTTTACAAATCTGGTTAATAAATTTTTTTTCATCTTGCTCATTATTTATAGCCATGAGCTTAACATCTTAATACTTACGAACATTCTCCATAGTTTTACCATATACAGCATTATTTTTGAGTTTGAAAAAGTCACTTAGAAATATATTTCTAGCTTTTTTGGCCTCATTACATTTTTCTGTATTAAAAACTATATAGGGAGTAAGCCAATTATTCTGATCGAATGATAAGATCTCTGTAACTTCATCTACTATCATATCTAATTTTACATAGTATTGAAGCTCTTGGTAGTGAATAATATAATCTTCTTGTGAACCAAGATAGGGTACTAATTTTTCTGTAGCTGAGAAATGTCTACTATCTAAGTTATCTACAAGCTCTGTAGTATGGGAGCACAACATATTTTTACTTACAACCATGTTTTCTACAGCTGGAGGTAAATCACTCAAATAGTCATGAGTTTTTAGAGAAAAGTATGCTTTAATATTTAGAAAATATCCTCTTTTTGCATCTGCTTTAGTATTAAGAATTTTTTCAAGATATTTTTTTTGCTCATTTGGATTATTCTCAAGATATTTATGACTTACCTTCCATTTATAATTTCCAATAGGCAAATACTGATTCATAGCCCAGCCATAAAGATTTGTTGCATCTATATATAGAATCTATGTTGTTGGTTTAGATGGGTTAAATGCTTTACCTATCTTAGGATTGTTTGCTTTGAAATATCATTTACATGCCATAGCTATACCTCCACGCTTAGCCTTTTCTATAAAATCATGCATAGCCATATCTGTAAAGAGCTCGATTTTAACTTCTGTCATCTTAAGCATAGCATCCCAAGAATATGCTGAAAGTGAAACATAATGGCTAGGATCGAGTCCATCATATTCCATAGACATTTTTTGCAACTGTGTCCAGACATCAGCAAGACTAAGCACATCAGTTTTAAGATATATATCATGGTATTCATCTAAAGTCTTGCAGTTAAATTCCTTCCATACTTTTTGGGCATGCTCATAATCTTTTTGGCTAATTTTATCATGAAGATATGTACTAAATTCATGAATTGGTAGAAGCTCAGTCTCTAAAAACCTATTCTGTGAATCTATATAATCATAAGGATAAACTCCTTTTCAATATACTAAATCTAATTGATCTTTTGTATAGCCTAGTTTTTTGAAGTACTTAGATGTTATTGAATGATTATCACTCAAATTTTTTGTAAGACTAGCTAAGCTACTATTCATAAACTGCATGCTATCTATATATTTAAGCTGGCCTACCTTCATAAACTTGTATTACTCAAATGTCTCAGCTACAACCTTGATTTGATTTGCATTAACTGATTTTCTAACAGATTCACAAACCAAGTGAGAGTCATAGCCCTGAAAATTATGAAAAACAACTGAAATAAGAGTTTTCTATACTTCAATTTGAAGTTTGAGATTACATGTATTGTGAGCAGCTCCTCGGAACTTACCTGTAATATGACAGTGATCCCAAACCTTTATATCCATAGACTTTTTTTGATTAATATCTTTAGTTATCTTATCAATTTGTTTTGTTAAGGTTTTATAATCTTCTGAATTTATTGAGGTATTTTTTAGCTTATTATTAAGCCATAATGCCTTATTTTCTAAGCATTTGACTTTATCTTTATCTATAATGAATTTTTCTTTGCATATCCAACAACTATCTGCTTCATTGAATTTCTTTTTGTCTTTGTCAGTCTCAATTCGATCATGTTTTATAGCTAAAACTCTATTAATTTCAACCAACTCTTTATTAATTCTTTTGACAAACTCCTGAGTAGCATTTTCTCCTCTATATAGGAATGGGCCCCATATATTTCCAGTATCGATTCAGTGAACCAAGTAGCAAAAGCTATTGGCCTTTTGTTCAGCAAGCTTTTGCATTTGCCCTCCATATTTCTTATTGCATTTCTTATTATCAGCCTCAAAGTCAGCTATAATAACATATGAAGCATTGATCATTCGTCCATAATTCTTAAACTTCTCAAAGTCATTGATATCCTTGATAGGTAATTTGACTTCTTGAGTTGCTTCTTCCAAACAAAGACAATGTTCAAAATAATTCGCAAAAGCTTTTTCTGATGGCCAGCTTATAGTACATTTTCTACAAAGATATCTTTTACCATGATGAGTGGTATCCCTATAAACTAGCTCATCTAAATTGTTTATCCAAAGAAAGTGGTTTTTTTGCCCATACTTGTCTTTAGATTTCGTAATATCTGTAAGAGCTATGAGGTCAATAATATGTTGTCTTTTATAGTTTTTGCTAGCTATTACTGCTTTGGGAGTAGCTGTTTCTTCTTTCAATTCCCAAACATTAATAGAAATATCTGAATTTATCTCTTCTATCTTATTAAATATACGTGAGCAAATTGGTGTAGGCATTGGGATTCCATCTAGCTTGACTATATTCAGATATAGTTGTAAACTTTTGGCTCTATATATTCGTCTTTCTAGATGATCTGTTATGCCTGCTTTATCTGCAAAGTAACAACCTAATGCACCTTTAAGACAATTATCTGTGGACTTACCTGTTGCTAGATTTATAATATCAGAATTATCTGAATTTATTGTGCATTTGGTATTAGCAAGCTTCTTTGAAGTGGAGATATATGACCCACCAGTTGTTCTTTGAAAAGTATAAGCTTCAATAGTTAACATTTCAATCCTTACCAAATTCATTCCTGATCCTTCTTGCATAAATGAGTCTATAGCATTATCTATTTCTGATATAGATAAATTTATATGTTCATTGATATCTTCTTTTGTAAGAATAATACACATAAGGCTTCTGTGATAAGCAATTATAGTTAATAGACTTTTAAGTTTGTCTTTCCCTTTGCTAACATGCCCAGAATATATACATTGAGCAATTAATGCAGTTTTTATTTGATCTTTTTTACACAATTCGGCTTTAAGGACTTTTGTAATTTGTTCTCTTGCATTTGCTATAAGTTGAGGCATATAGGGTGCTTCTAAATATTTATTATGGTCTTCAACATAATAATTGAATCTATATTTTATGTTTTTAGAAGATGGAATAACTGCTTGCCATAAACTCATTGCTGTTAAATTCTGATGAAGTCTTAAAGGATCTAAATTAGATTCGCATTCTTCAAATATTAACTCTTTGTTTGTTAATCTATAATTTTTTCTTACTGGTTTACCACCAAAATTGCCTTCTACCATTATGATATTTCTTTTTGGATAGTCATAGAGCAAGGTTCCAGCTAATTCGGGCCATTTTTTATCAGTGCTTGCATTATATCTATCTTCTATATTATTAAACTATTCTGTATCATTTTGGGGAAGATTCGAAGAAACATTGTCTGAAAATATATTTTGAATAGGTGAAGAAGGTGTGCCATCCAATTGAATTAAATCACCTACTGGAACATAGGTTTGAGTTGGAATTTGATTTGTAGTAGGATTTTGTAGTAATGGTGTTGAAGCTACAATAGGATTTTGGATATTACTAGGTTTACATAGATTTTTTCATTCTAGATGTATACGAAGTTTTGCTAATTTAGGAAAATTTTTTCCACATCTATTACATGTATATACTACCATAGTAAAATAATAGTATGAATTTGTATATGAGTGCTGGTACGTAATTCCTTATCCGTTACTTATAAAATATTTTTGTTCAATTTGAAAATTAATATGTACTAGATATATATAAAAAAATGCAATTAGGCGAATATATATGTGATTTTCTTTTATATACTGAAGAGATATGTGGTCGATCATATATGAATCCTAAAAGGTGCTGACTTCATAAAAATGCAATCAAACACTTTCCTTGTACTGATTGTGGTAAACCTACTCAGTCTGGAAGTAAACGATGCCCAGATTATACTAGAAGCTATTATGTTGGTAAACATTATCAAAAGTATTATAAAAGGAAAATAGATACTTAATTTTTGGTACTTTGATTTATATATGGATAAATTGTATATGATATCAGGTATGACGATGAGATTAATTTTTTATCGTCATCTGATTTGATTATAAAATATAAAAATAGTGAGTTCTAGCTATATAATTTTTGGTACCCAGGTTTTTATATAGGTACTAAAGAGTTTTTATAGAATATAGACTTCTTAAGCGATCTAAAAGCAAAATGAATATTTAGTACCCAGGGTACCAAAAAAGTGACCCCAGAACTCCCTTTATCACCCTACTCAGGCCAAGTAATATCAAACTTTGAACAAGGTCTATTTTACCTGAATCAAGATATATATATATATTATTTATTAAATAGAAAAGAAAACTAAGATTTCTAATATAGTATATACAATAATATGGTCTAATCACAGTAGTTTAAATCAAGAGTAGTAACATGTCAGATATAACAACATGTTTTTAATGAAATATAATAGTTAAAAAATAGAATAGAATAACTTTAGTATTGAAAAAGTTTCACTTTTATTAATAATAAATTTATTTTGTTTTTATTTCATGTATTAAAAGATTTTTTAATTAATTTGATTGGTCAATAATTATGCTTGGATCTACATAAATTAGCCAATTATATGAATGTTATAACTTGTAATTTTTTATAAAAATATGAGTTTCTTTTATACTCTAAAATTTTTAAAGTTGTATTGGCTTTGAGTTTTCTTAGTATGTTTTTCTATTCCTTTTCTTTTATCTTTTCTTCTAACTTTTCATATCAGAACTTCTTGATTTACTTTTTTGGATTGTATACTTTTATCTATTTCTAAAACATCTTTTCTAATTTGGTTCTCTGTTTTTTGAATTGATTTCTAAAATGCTTTGTTAAACTATTTAAAACAGCTTTAGGTTTTGTTATTAGACTAACTTCATCTTCATTTTGGATTATAAATCTGTCTAGAATTATCTTCTTGTATAGTTTGTTTAAAAGACTAGCAATTATTTATCATTGATCAGTTTTTATTATCTTACATCTTCTATTTATATTTTCTTCTATCTGTTTTCTTTGAGCTCATTTTCAGTTTTCTTTCTTCTGTTTTTTAGAATTCTTTGTTAGTCTTTTATATCATTTATCCAAGCTTCTGACTATTGATTGTATAGCTTTGGTAATACTACTCCTATTTCTTTGACAATGTCTATAAGTTTCTTGCTTATTTCATCTTTTTCTTCTTTTTTTATCTCTTGGTTTCTTCTTATTTTCACCTTTTTGATTATTTATTATAGTTTAATTATGTACCTATACTGCTATAGTTTCTTTAATGATGTCTTCTGTTTGCTTTTGTATTAAATATCTTCTTTTTTGGAATTTGTTTATTTGTTACTTCTATTATAGATTTTTCTATTGCATTCTATATACAGTTTAGTATATTTGTACTGCATATACTATTTTTTCTATCTTCTTCTAATTGTTTCAGTGCTTTCTTTTACTTTAATTATGCTTAAAGCTTTTTAACATATTCTTTTTAGTCTTTTTGCTTTGCTTTCTCATACAAATATATTGTTCTTATCTGGTTTTTATATTTGGTTTTAGTACAGCTCTGGTTCACAATTACATGCTCTAACTATATAACTATTGTTAATATCTTGTAATTACTGCTTGTTATACCTTTTGCTTTTTTTATATTGGCTTTTTAAAAACCAACTGCAATTATTTCTGACAACCAGATATAGTTAATTTTTGTTGTTGCTTCTTGATTTGACCATGTGTATGCCCTTTTTGTTAGATGCAAATTTCTAAAAAAGTTTGTAAAATCTGCCTTTTAAGCCACTTGAAAATTAGCAGTTTTTTATATTCTGTTATTTGTAGGTGCAGTCTGTCTAGTATGTTGTCCACTGTGTGATTAAATCTCCAAATATACTTATTTCCATATGCTTTCTTTTGTTTGTTACTATTTTTACAATTTTTTGCTATATTTTTTACTAATTGCTTTGTCATTTGGTGAAATATACACTTCTATTACTATCAATACTAGTTGTTTGAAGTATAGCTTTACTTCAATCATATGTTCACTAAGTTTTTTAACTGCTTCAACATGTTTTTTTCAAGTTTTATCTATTAGAATCTTAATATCTAATTCTTTTTTTATGTCCAATACTGCACTTGTTCTTTTCTTTTTTTTATAATATTTATTTTGTTATTTTCAAAAATGCTATTTCTTCTTTCTCTGTTTAGTTTAGCAGATTTTCTAATTTCCAACCTTTGGTTTTGTGTTCATTAATGTTATAATATGTAATTTTTATTTCTTTTCTCTCTTTTTTCTTTTTTTCTTTTAACTGCTTGTATCTTGTTTCTGTGTTTTCTGCTTTTTTTTTTTTTTTTTTTCTTTTAGATTAAAAGGTTTTTCTTTATTTCTTTCTTCAAAGATCCTTTTTTCACTATGCAGAAAATCTTTAATCTCCTCATCCATATTCATAGATTTAACTTAGGTGTTTTTAGAAGCAGTTAGTTAGGCCTTTTTTTATATCTAGCAGAGTATCTTCTAATCAATTTAGCCTATTCAAAATTTGTCTTAAAACTTCTTTCATCTATCTTGTTTTTATGTGTACTTGTGTATTTAGCTTGTTTTCTTTTTGATTATGTTTTTATCATTTCTTTTTGCATTAGTGTTTTTGACTTCTAACCATTTTTCTACATTCTGTAGCTAAGAATTACTTTTTATTTCAATGTATTTTCTATTTGAAACTTAATAATTTTTGTTCTGGCTTTTTCTGTCAGTAGTATTTCTATCTTCTAATTACTTTTTAACATCTTGTATTTGAGAATCACTTTTTATTTCTGTGTATCTTCTGTTTGGGCTTTGGCTAGTTCTTTTTCAGCTTCTATCTTTTCTTTCTTTAACTCTTTCTTTTTTTTTTACTTCTTTTCTTTTTTTATTTAATTAGAATACTTGAAAGTTGTTATATTTAATTGGTTTTAATTGAGCTGTCTTTATTTCTTTTTCTGTTATAAATGTAATTATTGCTGTTCTTCTTTGATTTACATTTCTGTTTGGTAGAATGTATACTGATTTTGCATCTTTGCTTCTTAGGCAATGCAGTAGCAAAACTTTTGAAGCATTGCTTAACAGCCTTGTTATTTTTGGTATATACTGAATTTGCTTTTGTCTTGCTTTATAATTTTTTTCACTTTCTGTTACTTTTACTAGTTTGTTACTGTTAACTGGTATAGACTATGGTGTGTCTTCTTCTTTTGATTTTTCTACTTAAACTATTGTAAGAGACTTGTATTTGGATCTTTTGATTCTTGTAATATGTGCTTTTTTAAATTTTCTGCAAATATATTCAAGCTCTTTTCTGTTTATATCTGCTAGTAGGTTTCAAATTAAGTTTCTGTATTTCTTCTTCCTCAGTATTTATTCAATTTTCTGTAATTTCTCTTTTGCTTTTTTGCTATTTATATTCCTTTTCATAGCTTTTAATATATTGTTTCTTTTTTTTTAATATTCTTTGTTATATGTTTTTTTTTTCATTCTTGTTTATTCTGTCTTCTTCTGTGATTATTCTGTACCAATTACTTTCATTTTTGCTAATTCTTTGTATTACCTCATTTTTGTCATATTTGCAGTTAAAGTCTATTTCTATCTATAGATTTCTCTTTTAAAACTTCTTCAACATTTTTGATATGCCTATTATTTTTTAATGACTATCTGATAAAGTTTGTACATTTTTTTTTGGTCTTTCCAAGTATATTATATGCTAATATGTTTGCAAGTAGGTTGTTGTTTTGATTGCAGCCTCTCTTGCTTGGTGCATATATGCTTTCTTTAAGTGGTACTCCTATTACATTAATTTCTTTATCAGTTTCTTGTTTTCTTTTTTTTTTCTTTTCTTCTCTTCTGTTGTTGATTTCTGTTTTAATTCTTTTTTATTTATTTCAACATCTTTTTGTTTTTGTTCTCTTTTCAATTCTTCTTCTTTTTTTCTATAGGTGGATGATTCAGCTTCTATTTGGCTATTATTTGTTTGTTTTACCTTTATACTTATTTCTTCTTTTGCAGTTTTGATATTTGCTTGTAAACTTTTGTTAGACTTTTCATTATCATCTTTCTTTTTTTTGTCACTTCCTTTAGTTTCTCTTGCCTTTTTTTTTATTTTATTTGTCTGCTATTGTTCTTCTTTCTTTTCTATACTTATTTTATTTTAATACTGTTTTACAAAATTAAGCTTTTTCCCAAATTGCTCTTTTTCTGCTTTTTCTAATATTTCTTTTGTTATTTGCAAAAGTGCTACTTCATTTGAGTCTTGTTTTATAAATGTTTCAATGATATTATCTTTTCTACTAGGCATTGCATATGTCTTGCTTGCTTCATTAAAGAAGATTTTATTATGCACACTATTTATCACCTCATATGCCCTTCTTGTGAAGATTGTATTAAGGCTTTCTCTATATTCTTCTGGCAGACTTCTGTTCATATTGCATAATTGTTTTCTAGATGCTTCTAAGTCATGTATTATATCTAGATTAAACTAGTTTAATGTATGTATTTGTTTGTTTACTTTGCTTGTTCTATTGTGACTTCATGTATAACTTAAAGGATCTACAAGACAGGGTTATAGCAATTTCTCTAATTTTTTTAAAAATTTTTTATATATTATTCTCTATTATCTTTAATTTTTCTTCTGTATTTCTGCTATTAAACTATGTACAACTTTTGCTATTCTGTCTTTTTTGTTAGTATCTTGAGTCTTGTTTTCTAGTCCAGTTATTGAGTTTTTCTAAGTTTTGCTTTCTAGAAATTTTGGTTAAGTGATCTATAAAAGAAAGTTGATAACTAACTTTGTTTTTAAAAAAAAGTTTTTAGATTTCATTTTAGATATTAAAATTTTGTAAATATTTTCAAATATATGTAATATATTGTGAAATATTTCAATTTTTGTTAAAATTTTAAAATTACTTCTTATATATATAAAATAATTCTTTTTTATCAATATACTAAAAGTATTTAATTTTTTTTTTTTTTGCTTTAAGGCTGATATTAATGGCAGCTAATGCCTTTATTGTGTTTTTAGTAAATACATTATATATTACTTGTACAGAATGAGCATACAACTAGCTATACATGTAACTTTTGGTTACCTATTTAAGTAGTCCACCCAAGGGTTCTACACTAATTGCCATATCTATAATCTACTAGGAGACTATCTAATTAAACATTATAATTCCTATACTGCACTCAGACAATTAGCAGCCTGGTTCCTGTACATCTAAGTGCCATCTAACCCAACATTTATCATCCCTTCTGTATGTCTGTCAAGCCATTACACAATTATTTTCAGAGCATGACACTTGACTATAAGGCTTTGGAGGCCCTTCTATTAACTATCTACTCACTTTATGGAACATTAACAGGGCTTGCTCTTGCAGAGTTTACCCAGACCCTAGCACTTATTTTATAGCATATCCCTAGTACTTTTAGTATACTCATGCTTTTTTTCTAAACTCCTAATCCAGATAGCTTGGTAGGACTATGACCAGCTCATTGGTATATTAAGTCAGCCTAATATCCTTTTTCTCTAGTTCTCCTGATTGAACTTCCAGTGGCCTGGTTGGTGGTACTCCCCACCCAGAGGTTTTTGCCCATTCAAGTACTTCACATTGGTATCCATTTCCTAGGTCTAGCCTTTACAGTAGTACTGTTAAAGATCCATGTTACTTTTCTACTCAGATCTTCCCAAGTGGGCTTTTTGTTTTTCAATTTCTACAGATTTACATGGCCACAAGGACTTATTTTGGGTTTGCACCACCTGATGCCAGTTTGCATTTCTCTATATAACCAGTTACACAGATGCTCTATGACCTGCCAGTCATGCTGGTGCAATCATAATTACAGGTATTTTAACCCAATCATTAGGAACAGTTGTCATAATACAAATATTATATAGGTAATTATTCAAATTTTCACTATTCATGAGTTTTGAACTTACAACCTATCACTTGAAGGGTTGACAACTTATCCACTTCACTAAGTTATTACATTCTTTAATTTGTTTTTTAATTATTTTAATTTAATTATTTAAATAAATTAATTATCTTTGCATATTATTAATATATGTATATTTGGGTATGGTGACTTAGTGAAGTGGATAAGTTGTCATACCTCCAAGTGGTAGGTTGTGAGTTCAAAACCCATCGATAATGAAATTTAGATAATCATCTATGTAATATATAGACGATATTATGGTAACAGCATTCTGTCAATCAGTTAGGATAGGATACCTGTAACTATGGTCGCACCATCATGACTGGCAGGTTTGAGGCATCTGTGTAATCTGTTACACAGAGGAATGCAAACTGGTACCAGGTGGTGCAAACCTAAAAAAGTTCTTAGGCTATATAAATCTGTAGAACTAGAAAGCTGAAGCCTACTTGAAAATTCTGAGCAGAGAGGTAATACAGATCTTCGATGGTACTACTGTAAAGGCTAGACCTAGAAAATGGATATCAATGTGAAGGATTCAGGTAGGCAAGAACCTCAGGTGAAAGGTATTACCAATCAGGCCACTAGATTTCAGACCAGAAGAAAAGGATACTGAGCCAGCCTCAATATACCAAGAACAGGTCACAGTCCTTTCAGCCTATCTGGATTAGGAGTCTGGATTTAAAGCAAAGGTATACTAAAAGTACTAGGAATATGCTATGAAGTCAGTACTGAGATCTGAGTAAACTCTGTAAGAGTAGTCTGTATTAGTGTTCTAAAAGTAGATAGATAGTTAACAACAGAGGGCCCCTTGCATCTTACTGGCAAATGATGTACTTTGAAATATGTAACAGCCTGGGAACTAGTACAAAAAGAGTAGATATCATACTGCTCAGATGGTATACTGATTAGGTATATACAAGGGGTTAAATAGGAATTTCAATATAACAGTGCAGATGATCTAAAGGTTTAAATAGATAATCTTCTAGTAGATTATAGGTACAACATCTAGTATAGAACCTTAGGGTGAACTAATTAAATAGGCAACCAAAAGTTGCACATATGACTAGCTGTACTCTTATCTTTGTAAAAATAGTTGTAATAGCTAACCTGATATAAAGTCAATAAAGTATTGCCACAAGTATAGCCTTTAAAAAAAAAATATATATATATATATATGTAAGATAAAATGAGATATTCTGGCACATCTAAGCTGTACTGCAATTAAAATCTTATAAATCAATATTTATTTCTAAAACTCATTTAAATTAACTAATTAAATGCTTGGCTATTCCTGCTAATAAAAAAATTATGTGTATTATTAATAAGCAAGCTTGGTTATTACAACTTTTTTGAAAGCAATTTTTTAGACATAATTTTATTAGGTGGGGGAATTGTGGCATACCTATGAATATTAAAATCTTTGTATTGCATAAACTACATAGTTGATACTTTTCATACAGATACATCAAAATAAAACTTTATTAACTTAGACTAAGATTATCTGTTACATTAATATTAATATTATTATTAATTCTTTTCTTCTTATTCGAATGTCTTTGCTCTATTTCAATTTTTTTTTGCACTTTTTTGGTTTCTTGTTCAATTCATTTTTGTACAGCTTCTTTTTTTTTTCCTTGCACTTTCTGCTTTGCTTTTTGATAAATCATCCATTTCTTTTAACTTTTGTAAAGATTCTTCATTAGTAAGAAGCTTAGCAAATGAAAAATATTCTTTTATTTTGACTGGTTAGACACTAGCTCGACTTGAGCTGGAATGTGTGAAGTAGGTTACTTAAAAGCCAATTTTAAGAAACAAGTACTAGGATTTTTTAAGGTTTCTATTTCTTCTTGTAATGCTTAAAAGGTTCTTTTAATAAATTCATTTTCTTTTTTTAAAAAATCATTTTCTGCTTTTAAAAACTCATTCTTCCTAATAATACTAACTATATGTGAAGGATAATTATATAGGTGAGACGATGATAAAAGAGAAGATGATATGGATACAAAAGAGAATAATGCAGAATAATTATTTAGTGAAGAAGATGATATATAGAAATTGTTTTGTAAAGTAGATGATAAGGAATAATTATTTATAGTATTTGGTATAGATAAATCGATTCATTCAGTTAAAAGAGATGGATCAAGATGATCTGGGCTTATGGCATTAGGGTTAAGAGGCCAAGTCCCTGTAGCTCTATAAGCATTAATAATTGCTAAAAGAGTGTAAGTCTTAATGAATGTTAGACCAAGCATTTGTGCAAATGTATGCTTAGTCAGCAGCTTGCCAGTATCATTATGAAATTTGTCACATTTTTTAGAATATTCGGATTTGAGTGTAGCAAAAGGAAGTTCGGATGGTTGGAGAATATGAGTAGTATGAGATGGGAGTGCATATAGCAGAATTCCATTTTTATAACAAAAGTTGACACTCATATAATTTACATAGCTTTTGTGTTCGTCTAGTATTAAAAGAATGGGCTGACTAGAAGAAATAGATTTAATGAAATGTTCAATGTACATCTGAAAAAGACTTTTGTGCATATATCTTGTGTCAGTAAATCCCATAACCTTACCAGCTGAAGCACCATTTAACAAATTAGGAATTGCACAAATGCCTGTATAACTAAATAAGGAAGGGATATAATTACCACTAGCTAAAATTGTGAGAGCAACAGAAATATGTTTATGGGAATTACTATTTGCTATTTTGTGAACTTGGTAAGAACCTTTTGTGACAAGTACTTTTTGAACTTTAGGAACTATAATGAATTCTGTTTTATTCATATTCCAGATATGGTCTGCGATAAGTAAATTTTTTTGAATAATTTTTTAAAGCTTATCAAAATGATCTTTTATAATAACTGGATTTGCTCTTTGTGTATGTGCTTCTGAGAGGACCTGAGGTACATGAAAAAATAGATCAGGATGGTCTTTTAAAAAACATGACCACCAGGACTTTCTAGGTCCATTATCATTAAAAAGATGATTACAATTGTTATTATTCATAATAGTCATTACACAATGGTTTATTCCAGATCTAGTAAGTCCAAATCCTAGTTTTTGCATGTTTTTACAGTAACCAACTAATTCTTGTTCTTTATGGCTACTTAAAACTATTGAAGGTCCAGAACAGTTAGGTAAGTGATTATTCTTATTTGCATATCGTAAAGTCATTTCAGCAACTTTAAGTCTTAATGTGGCTGCTTGTATACTAGGTTTGTCAGAACTATTAAGCTTATTAAGAGCTAATTCAATGGCTTTTGTATATATTGTTCAGTTTTGTTGTGATTTTTTTTTGTTTATAGTAGGTTTGGTTATAATTTTAGGCTTAGACAAAATTTTGGAGTTCATTTTTGTTTTTATTTTTTTTTTTTTACTTACAAATTTTTTAAACTGATTTATAATTTTTGTATGGCTTTTGTATGCAGTTACAATTAATTCTCTTAAGTCATTGTTTTATTGTATTTATTATTGGCTTTTGTATGCAATCATGATCATGGTTATGATTGATCCTTTTAGGACATATCATTTTATTGTTTAATAATAATTATAATTATTTTCTGTATTGGCTTTTGTATACAATTATGATTATAATTTTTCAATTAAACAATTAACATTTTAACAAATAAAACTAGACTGAATTCTTAAATCTGTATAGTGTGAGCCCAATTTTCTAGCTATAGGTGTCCATATTGAAGTAACAATCCTAACCTGATCCAAGATCACATGAAAGTGACAGAAATATTACTTATGTTATTTTCGTTCTTCATCTGTATATGCATTAAATAAAAAATAAGGTTTTTATTAGATTTAATTAGGAGATAGCATATAAGAAATATATTGCATTTATGAGAGAAATTAGTTGCAAATGTAAATAGAACATTTATTATAAATAAAGGGCATTTTGCCTTGGGAAAATAATAACTACTACCTTTCTAACAATAAATTTCCCAATAATAATAAATACCTGACCCTTAATAAAAATGCAAGTCTACTCTATACAAACTAATAAACCATTGTTAAATCTTATTGTTATCCTTATCATTCACCAAATAAACCACTAAACTTATCATTGATCACTCATCGCAAGTCATGTGATGGAAAATTGTTAACATAATAGAAGAGTCCCAACTCCAATTCGATGAAGAATAATACTGGATTGAGGCAGACAAAAGAAGACATAAGAAGGCAAAGATTAATAGAAGAATAAGTTAAAAGACTTAAAGAGAAAATTAGTACTTACCTACTATTTCGACTTAGCCACAATAGGTTATGTGAGAGTTGGATTAGTTTAGTAACAAAAACTTGCTGAATTCTGAATCATAATAGTATACAAATAAACAATATTAATATTACCAACTTTGTAATTAAACAATAGATAGAGCTATTTCTCGAATAACTTATAAACTAGTAATTTTGTTTACAAACTGTAAAGGATAATTAAAAGTTTTTATACACTACAAAATGGAATACCTTCTTGATCCACAATTCGAAAAAATAAACTCATTCTCAATTCTTCATAATAATTTAATAAATCATGCTTATAATGCTGCAGCATTCAAAAATTGAATGAAATATGTTTTTCCAATTCTTTACAAACAACTTATTGGTGTTGTAAAGTATTTTTTAAAATTAATAGTTACAGATAAAATGATTAAGTCAATAGAGAATTATTGCAAAAATGATCGAGAATTAAAAAAAATAAAACAGGTTGTAATTGTTTTTGAGAAGATCATATATGATTATGAATATCTTGCAAAAATAAATTACATTTTATTAATATTTAAAAGATTATACAAGGCTGAGAACAATGGTGGTATGTTTGATCAGGAATATAAATAACATGCTACTCTTAAAGGTCTGAAAATGTGCAAATTTGTGAAATTGTTTTGTGCAGAAGAAAAATATAGGTTTAGTTTCCAAGACTTTTATAACAATTGTCATTATTTCTATAGTGAAGCAGAGGAGTTAAGTTTGTATAAAGAAAATTTTTGTCTTTTTGATGTAAATATATTGTCAAGAAATTAAAATTATGTATTATACATATAGTTAATAAATTAATTTTTATCATTTTTTTATTACTGTTGATTGTATTTTTGTAGCCAAAAGTTCTAATTAAAGCGATTTGTGTACTATTCGATGCATTTTGATAAGATGAATTGAATGTTGTTAAAATTATTCGATTCTGATTGCTTTATCTTGAGATATTTTAAAAAACTCAAATGTGCCACATTGCCTCCTATGCCAGAATACTCTATCTTATCTTATATTTATATAGAAATATTAAAATTTATTCTATTAATATTAAATAAATATATTAAATAAATTTATGTTGATTTGGTTTAGGTCACAGATAAAACTATCTGAGCTTTAATTCTTGCATGTAATTTTTATTTTGTAGTTTACACAATCTCAGTATATCTTAGTATATAGTATATTAATATATACAATTAAAATTACTAATAAAGATATGAGCAAGGCCTCACCTTAACACCAAAAAAAAAAAAATTTATGTTGATATTTCTATTTTTAAAATTATGCAATAAATTAAAAAAAGTATTACATTTTTAGAAAATATTATTTAAGAAAAACAATTAAATTACAAATAAAATTTATTAGTTAAATAAATTAAAATTAATCATTATAAATAATTAATATTATTGAATAATTAGGAACTCTTTCTGTAGATCACTTTTACAAATTCTTGCTAAAAACATTTGATATTTTCTCAATAATTTACTAAGC